ATAAGTTTTAAAGGAAGCCAAACGGACACTAAAAGAGTTAAAATGTCTGAGGAAAGCCCCTTAGAAACTAGGGTGCAGGCCACCGTGCTTTTCTTACTAGACTCTATACTATTACTTGAGAGTTCTGGTGGTACTGTTAGGTCAATATGTTGCCCCCTCATCAAGAACATAGAAGGTATAAAGAACTATGAATGGCGTACTGTATTTCTTGCATGTCTCCCCAATGGCCTAAATCAATATAAGAAGGTCGACGACAGTTCAAGAAGCATTGTTAGAGGCACAATCCTTGCAACTGAATTATTTACATTTAGGATGACATAGTTTGATACCCATATGGGAAGTTGAACCAGCTCGACGGTGACAATTTCTCATTGCTTTATAAGCGCCAGCAGAGAATGAGCATGTTGGTCATCCCAACGTTCTTTTTTCAACCTTACGTGTTGAAAGCACCATTTAACGTGCCAAGAAAATTTGACTAGACAGGAGAAAATAACTGAGATAAAAGGTTTGCGCATACAGAAGGAGCTTACCATTTGTGATCCTTTACCAGTCACAAGCATATTTTGCATCCACTTTGATTCTCAGCCATGCATCTAACTAACTTGTGTTTCTTGTTTTCTACATTAGGCCCAGGAGTAAAAGATTATGGTAAGTTAGTGCACACAGAAGAAGCTGACCATTTTGTGATTCTGCCATAGGCTTATTACTTCCACAAAAAGAATATGTACATGGTTGCAGGACTAGTATTAGCAATGATGAAAATTACAGCGAGTAAGGTGTTATTTTACATGAAATATGTCCTAGAAAACCTTGGAAAATGTCAATGGAAAGGCTAATACATCAACAGTACGTGGTCAGCAAAAATAAAATGCATCATTGAGCAAAAAATACTAGAAATTATTCTGCGACATAGGATATCGAAACTTCTAATTTGATCATCAAATAAAACGCCAAGATGAATAGCTCAATCCCTTGATACAATGGATTCGCATAATCTTTCTCGTTTCATGTGTCTATCTCTTAACCAAAATATAAATCACAACACGCAAACTGCAGTAATCTGGATGCCACTGATTTTGATCAACGCGACCAACAATAAACTCTTTTGTAGCAGCTTCCAGGAAATATTCTAGGATAGCATCTGCCACATGATTGAGTATATGAGATTGGTGTGTCTGGAAAAACTTTAAAATTCACAAAAACAGAAAGAAAGTTATATACCATTACGAAGTTCTCCAGCCAAAATAATCGTTGTCTCTCTCCCACATAGGTCGACAAGTGTTTCCAACAAATCCATCACTGCTTCCTCACTATATATGACATCTGAGCCAAGCACTGTAATACATTTATTCGAATAAGCGTTACATTTGCAGTTAAAAATTTTAACTGCTGCTTTTACTTTTAACCACATTATTCCATGTCGAAATTTGACTAGAAAATTAACATTATACCATAATCTGGTGAAGGATCTCTCAAATCTGGATCCAGATTATATCCCCATGTGAGCTCATTCACAGTTGCAGAACCTTTCAATTCTCCATATAGATTAGTTTCAACATTTTTTCTTAACAGCCTCAGCCTATCTGGTAGGTCGGTCAGAATAACTCGAGCACCCAATAGAGCTGCAATGCAGCTGGAAGACGTATAAAAGAAAAGGATATTCAAACTAAAAACGACACAATTAAGCAAATGCGCAAGCACAACAATGTGATAGACAAGAATTCTTAGGACACAATAACACTTATGCTTGGGGCATTCGTCTTTTGAAAAGCTCTTGCACTTGCTGAGTAAAGTAATGATGGAATTATTATTCATATATGAATCTCAGAGAAAAATTATGAATGATCAAAACTATTACCCAACTAATCCACAGCCTGAGCCCAACTCGATAACCTTCTTCTCTTGAAGTGATATTGTTCCTAGTTCCACAGAATGCTCTAAAAACTTTCCCAGAATTACACCACTGTCCCACATCACTGAACCAGTTACTCCAGGAGTGCCCTGCACTTGAAAAGAAACTAACTGGATTATATTACGAAGAATGGTTAAATCCAGAAGCCATTTGAACTTGGCCAATCTATTGATAATGAGATGATTGCACAAGTGCAGGTTTAACTTACACCAATACAACTTTACATGATAATCCTCTCTATGGATGGCATAGATACATTTTTATAAGAATATTAGAGCAAACTGAGAACCCATCATAATTTGTATCATATACATTATAATCTATACCATTCAATGTTAAAGCAGTTATCTAGCATATTAATTCAATTATATAAGTTTCATCATTATTTTTTGCCGGCTATGAGATGAGATTGACATCATGGACGTTTCGATTATCTAAGAAACACGGACATGGTATGGAAATGTGAAACAGACACAACATGACACACACATGTTGTCATATGATTTTTAAAAAAGTATGAAACGGATTAATCAATTTGAATTCCTTAAAAAAATCCACATATATCTCTTTATATTTATACTTTTTAATCCGGGACACAAGACATGAAATACATGTCCTCGTATCTGACACAACATGTGTCCGAAATGAACATGAGTGTACGTGCTTTGTAGTTGAATATCTTTAACCACCAGTATACAACATCTATAGGTACCAAAACTTCCATCTCCAATTCCAACTTCTACACACCCATGTTACCCAATTGGGCATAGTTAAAATAACAATAGGATGTACAGAAGTCATTCTACAAGATAACATGGAAGGATGCACCTGAACCAATAACCTAGGATGCACCTGAACCAATAACCTAACCTTACTCATGCTCTGTCAAGTCTAGCTTGTAAAAAATAATAACATCTAGAGCTGCTTCTGATGCCAACAATTGTATTTCTTTCATGTTTATTTCATCACCTTTCCATTTTCTTTTCTTTAAAATTTGCAATCTTTCTCATCTGTCATGTCTTGCCACATAATTATTCCTCTCAGTAATAAGGGGATCTCATTCAGTAAAGATACCCTGCTCATTTCAGCTTGGAATTACCATTAGCAAACCATCTTTCACCATAACAACGTTTACTTCACCGCTAGGAGCTGAATCACTGTCACAGCCATGAAACACCAGGGAAGGGAAAGAGCTCAGAAAAAGTTCTTGTAACGCATTATCAATGTCCTTCATGGTGGGTTAACTGATTGATTAGATTCTGAAATTCATTCACGTGCTCTTCAGCACTGATCATTTCGTATTTTGAATTGACTATTATTTTAAATAAAGAAGCCTTATTTATTGTACTTCATCTCTTTCCCTTTTTCAGTTTCTATCCAAGAAGCAGTATTTTACCCCCCATGTGTAAAAGAAATGATACACGATGTACAGCATTAATATCTTCGAGAGTTAAACCTCACCTTGTCAGGTTCTAAATATCTAAGCATCAAATGGGTTCTTAAAATTATACAGAGAAGGCAACAGAAATTAATGAAATTCCTCAAAACACATACCAATTGAACAATAATCACCACAATTTTGATACATAAACAAGTAAAAAGTGTACAAACCAGAGACGAAGGGGACTGGAGAATGGCGAGAGATCGGCCGCAGGCGTCAATGCAGAGTTGAAGAGAAGATTGGGCGACAAAGGCGTTGTTCTTGGACAGAAGGGGCTGTTGAATTCCCCACAGAAGCATAATCTCCTCCGCTGCAGAATCTTCAGAATCATTACTACTATTTACCACTCTCAATTTCCCTTTATATGAACCCAGCTCCACCAACACGTTATGCTCCTCCTCTTCTGCTTTTTCAGCCATGGGTCTCGCCGAGTAAATCTTATGCTAATTATGGGTTACTTTTAACTTTATGGGAGAGTAAAAAATCAGCCAACCAACTTGCCAATTCCTAACAGAACGGCGGAAGAAAGTATGACTTGATGCAATTCCAATTTAAACCTGAATTTTTTATTTCATTTT